AGTGCATTTTAAAAAATCAGGAGGAAGTTTTCAGCATGAATGGTTAAACATATATAAATGGTTAAAATATGATGCAGTAACAAAGAGAATGTTTTGCACAATTTGTAAAGCACATGGAGAAAAAAATCAATTTGAGGAAAAGGTAACAAATAAATATAATTAATTAATTTTGCATTTTGCAATTATTAATTTACTAATGTTATAATGTTAATATTTAGGATCAAAGAATGTTTCAAAATCTACTGCTCTAGCAACTCATGCACTTTCAAACCAACATAAAGATGTTTTGCTTCTAGAAAAGGCAAGAATAACCATGCATGATTCTTCTGAAAAGGCCATTAATAATGGTAACAAACATATAATTAATATTTACTGGATGGCAAAAAAAAATATTCCAATTTCCAAACTTCCAAGTCTTATTTATATCTTAAAACTTATAGAAATAGTGCACTCAATTCGATTTTCTAGTGTAGATTGTGAAAAAAGTTTTAGCAAACAGAATATTATCAAAATGTAATGTAATGAAAAATGACACATTGCACATATTAATGATGGTTGGTTTATAAGGTTCTGATTTATTTGGTTATGATTTTAGTGATGCTCTTAGTAAAATTTTTTCAAAGTAAAAACAGAAGAATAAAGTAAAGAATTTTTTTAGCATTCAGGAGAAACTTCCGTTTTTTTTCAGACCCTATTTCCAGCCCTGTTGCTAACTCTATTTACAACTTATTGTTTATGCAATGGTGATGTATATTTATTACACAACTAACAGCCAATAAGGGAGCTTCTTTATCACAGAACTGTGATTTTAGCCAATCACCGAAGGCGAAACTAATTTCGCCTTCGGCATTTCGGAAATTTATCGGATTTCAGTCATTGAGCGGAATTAATTTCACCTAATTCCAGAATGTGCGATTGGTGAATGTACTAATTTCGCCCACAGCATTAACATAAGTCGAAACTGGTTTTGACTTTTGAGTTAGTTTTGACATATAACTTTTAATTTTTGGTTTTTACTTTTGCCTCTTTAAAATAGTTTTAGCGACCAACACTAGTCCCCATACAAAAAATGTCAGGGCTAGACATGATTATAAGATGCAAAATAATTAGTTATTGAATCAAGAATTGGGGCAATGGTGATATTTTGTTAAATTGAAGTATAGTATAATCATTAAAGCATTCAAGTTTATATCGTTAATGGCAAATTAATAGTATTAGTGATATTTAGGAAGTATGTAGTCATGAAAAGACTATCGTGGAGCAAAATAATATTATTTATTTTGCATAAATTTAATAATAAAAAGATTAAAATGATTATTGCGTTTTTCTTAAATTATCAAGTTATGTTGCTAATACGACAATAAGAATAATTTTTAAGCGTGTGGTAATATGGCCAATTTTTAAATTTTTTCGAAAAATCAAATTTTATTATTGACCGAACATGATGATAATAATGATTGTTTAATCCAAATGGATTTACAAATACCCAAAAAATATAGCATTATAAAATAAATTATTACACTTATTAACTGTTTAAAAAATAAATAAAATGATTGATTTCACAAATGTTGTTATTTAAAATCGATTTGCTTATTAACATTGATATCAGCACATCAATTATTATTGTTATCCAGCAATTTATTTACGACATTTTGGGTAGGAACGTTTGATCTTTAGTCAAATTGTTGACGATGGTAGAGTTTTGATGATTATTGAAATTATTTTGACCGACGAAACAGCTGTCAACAAAATTTTCATGGTTAATGCTCGTAATATTATTTGAGTTATTTGAGTTCTGTTCAGCGATGAAATTGTTTTGGTGACTATAAAACATGTTTTGACGTATGTAATTCTCATCACCAGCATTTTGATAAACGTCCTCATGTTTATGATTTTGATGAACCATGTTTTGGTGAACGCAATTATTATTACCGATGCTTTGATAAATTTCTCCAGGGCCCTGATGGATGAGATAATTATGAATCATGTTTTGATGAGCGTAATTATTATCACTGACATTTTGATAAATTTCTTCAGGGCCTTGATGGATGAAATAATTACGAATCATGTTTTGATGAGCGTAATTATTATCGCCAACATTTTGATAAATGTCTTCTGTATTATGAACCATATTTTGGCGAACGTAATTATTATTATGATAAATTTCTCCATGGTTTTGATGAACAGAATAATTATGAATCATGTTTTGTTGATAAGCATAATTATTGCCACCGACATTTCGATAAATGTCTTCAGGGTTTTGATAAATTGTATTATGAACCATGTTTTGGTGAACGTAATTATTATTACCAATGTTTTGATAAATTTCTCTAGAGTTTTGGTGAATAAGATAATTATGAATCATGTTTTGATGAGCGTAATTATTATCACTGACATTTTGATAAATGTCTTTAGGGTTTTGATAAATTGTATTATGAACCATGTTTTGGTGAATGTAACCAACACCCTGATGAATTTCTCCAGGGTTTTGATGAACAAGATAATTATTGTTTTGATAAATGTCTTCAGGGTTTTGATAAATTATATTATTAGGAGCTTGGTATTGATTAGTGATACTCCTCGTTTGTATTTGCCCATTCAAATTAAAACCGTTATTCCAATCATCGAAATTTTTATTATTATCCATTTTTGATTTTTTGATTTTTTATTATTATTATAATTATAAATTTATTTTTTTTTAAAAAAAAATGAATTTTTCGCCTGTTTGAACAATCATCTTTTATAAATATTTTTTATATATATAACATATATTTTAATTTAAAAAAGGGATTTATATATATATTATGGTAGTACAGCCATTTTTTAAACTTTAATGTCAATTATGAATTATGAGTTTATAAAAATGCAAATATATGTATATTATATATAAATACGCCATTTTTTTAATTAATATATTTAATATATACAAAGCGCCTAATTGATATATTTAATATATTATAAAAACAATGTGTAACTTTTACTTACTATTTTTCCTATTTAAATTCTTGTCTATCCCGAGAATCATTACCTCGTAACTCTGAGAATAGAATGATCTGTTGTTCATTTGTTTATATAATAAAAATAACTAGTTAATATAAAAAAACATTGATATTATATGCGAAGGTATGTACATACAACAACAAAAAAAAAAAATGGTCCAACGAATTTTACCCAACCAATTATTATATTTCTTAACATTATTATCAAAGCATTACGGAAAAACCGAAATTTTATTTGTTGATTTTTAATTAATTTTTCCATTATATAACAGAAGACTGATTACATAATCTGTTTTAGGAAAAACGTAATAGGATTTATTAAACTTGTTATTAAGTAGTAAATAAAACATTTGTAAATTTGTAGCGCAGGACAATAGTTTATAATCGAATTGGATGGGGTAGTGCTTCTCCAAAGAAACATTACTAGAAAATAATCTGTAGAAAAAAATCAATTACAATATGATAAATCAACCAATTTAGAATCATGTAACTAAAACTACAACAAACAAAAAACAATCACACGATTTTATATTTAAAGATCACTTTGGATGTTATTCCCTCTTTGGATTTTTTTGCCTGAGGTTTTCACTGCAGTTTTTTGGATACATATTTCCTGTCACGTATTTTTTTTCTTTATTATTATAAAGTTGTAAATGATAATATAAATTATTAAATTATATTACTCCTCCGACTTGATAAATTTGACATTAAAAAATCAAGGCGGCGAGGAGTTTTTTAAAGAGCCCACGACAAAAAATGATAAGATAGTGATTATTCCAAAATTTACTTTTCAAAAAATTCCGGAAGTGAGTGGTATGTCGCTGTTAATAAATATGGAATATAAAAGGAGTACAGATTTATTAATTATAAACAAACAAACAAAAACCCGGAAGGAACATTATCGTGTAGCACATACAAATCTTTGTACTATACAGCATAATCTTCCTTCATCATTAATATATAAGGAATGTGTGCTTACTGAATTACTACTGTTTAGCAGTCATTTATAAAGTTGATACTTAAATTTGAACCTTAAATTTTATCAAGTGACCGGGCATAGTGAATTTAAAACCTAACTAAAAAAATTATAATATAAATCATGTATAAATGACATATTTTTCTCTCGGTCGAGAGAAAAAAATGAAAAAAAAATCAAAAATTAATATTTATAAATACAAAATTATCCGTTTTCGCTCATTTTAACTGATAAATCATGGCATAAGATATCAAAAGATCCCAAATCAAGAGCAAATTGGATCATTAAGAATCACGACAAAACACATTCATTTTTTAATGCAATTCTGGTCATAACTTTATATCATTAGAACTAGTTGATCTCCTGATAAGAGAACGTGTGGTCCTATTTAGTTATATTGTGCAACGATTATTATTACAATTCGGAAAAATGGATGACAGTCTAATTAAACTAAAAATACAAAATGACATCAACTTCAAAACAACAATGATAATAATGACATGGATCAAAAAATATCTAAAGTTTCTCGAAAATATTATAGAAATTCGTGGGCTTCAAATATTCCAGTAGCGGGTATTCGTAGCTTTGTTAAAAGAAGCCAAATCACAATATGGTGAAAGTCTTCCTTTGAAAGGTAATGACATTGAAACATTTCATTTTTTAGCAGAAGGTCCATTTGCTATATACTTGGCCCCAAAAAGGTTGATGGAAGACCTGGAAAGGATAAAAGATTTTGTATTAAATGGAAAGTTCATATCTTTCCCCAAGTCCAATGAAGATCAATTGATTACCAAATAGAAATGCAAATACTTAATCATAAAGAATATCCAGCCAAAGACGGATTTGAAAACAACAAGCAATTGAACATAATTGCAAGAGCAATATTAATTTATCCTGAACTAGTAGAATTCTGGAAACAAATTGGTTACCATGATATATGTAAAGATGTCAATAATTTAGTGTTACAAGGTTCTTTGTTGATTTTATACTACCCAAATTATAAAAATAAGGAATTTTGTAATTATCCAACTACGATTGATTTCATTTAATGCATACAACAATTGGTCAAAGTTGAATTCAATTTGACGAAATTTGTCATGACTGATATTTTAATTTTGTACAAGCAACATATTGATAAAATTGGAATGACACTTTTATAAGCTTTTGTTGGATGTTGTGTTGTAGAATGGAGGAACCATCTTTAGTAGAAACTGATAATATCAATAAACCTAAATAAAATAAAAATGAAAAATTGGATATTGGAACAGAAAATGGGTTGGATGCCAATAGAAGAAATAGATCAAAGAAAAATTTGGAAAAGAAACTTGAAGAAAGAAAATATTATACTACAATTAATGTTATCTTTAATGGAATGCCATTTTAATATAATTATTCCACATTATGAATATTCATATTTGTATATAATTTAGATATTTTTTGATCCGTGTCATTATTACATTATTGTTATTACTGTTGTTTCTCAAAGTTATGACTTATAGCAAATTGCATTAAAAAAATGAATGTGATTTTCCGTGGTTTTTAATTATTTAATTTGCTCATGTTTTTGGGTATTTTTATACCATGTTTTTTTATTGGTTAAAATAGAAATTTTGTATTATTTTTCTTTATTTTTTTATTCATTTTCTCATTTTTTTATCTTCTCTCCATTCATTCGGTGATTTTCGATTTTCTAAATTATTATACTAATACCTAATACAATAATGATGCGCGGGTGTGATTTCTAATCATATTTGGTACAGTGTATAAAATTCAAAGAAATTAATAGTTTTATTAATCGAAAAAGTAATGGTTCTAAGATAATTGATTGAAAAAGTAATTATTTGCTAAGATCTCTTTCATTCATTGATCAAAAAGGTAATAATTCTTAAAATATGACGATTTTATCTCGGTATAATAGTAATAGATAATAATGCATTTTTTGTCTTCATGACAAAAAAAAAAAAGATATATATTGATTAATAGGATCGACTTGAGTAGCTTCATTATACAGAATTGAACATGGAGGAGGAAAAGGCGCGCGTCTTTTGTGTAAGGCGGATAATGTAATGTAATTGAATAATGGTTATTATTAATTTCATTTGGTATTTGTTGTGGTAGTTCTTGTTTTGGTTATGGTTGTTGATCTCCCGAAAATTTATGAAGATACATTTTAAATTTCTCAGCAGCCAGTTTCTCTAATATTCCAAAGTATTTTCTTACTTCGCGCGGTTCCTCATCCCAAGATTTTCCAGTTATACCCGAAACCTTTCCTTGGTCCTTTCGTTCCTTAAAAGATTTATTAGAATTTCTTCGATACAACATATAAACATTCTGTGGTTTTTTGATTTGTTTTGTTGTTTCTAGTACTAGGGGAAATCAACACTTCGATTGGTAAATAAAGTTCATAAGGACGATTTAATAAAAGGTAAACTACATCATTACCAAGTCGTGCATTAACAAAACATGATAATAATGTGGACGTTAAATAATAAGTTGTGCTTGAATAGCATAGAGTAATAATAAGGAGATTGCAAAAAATTCATTATTAATACTAATTGCTACTATTGGATAAGACATTATTGTTATTAAATAAAAAATCTTTTTCGATTTTTCAAATTTTAGAGGGTGCGATTGCTGCTTTAATTTATAATGAAAATTCATATATTGGCCCGGTCTATTTGTAAATAAAATATAGTTAAGGTAACAGCTTGTTAGCTAAAAACAGTCACGTTTTTAGTCACCAAGGTAATATAAAGCAATAGGTGATTTAATTGCTGATTCGCGAATGAATTGGAGAAATGATCGACATTTTAATATAAAATTTTTATGCTAATTGTTATTAAT